TATTAGTATTTGCCGATCAAAATTTTAATAATATTAGTATTTCAATATCAGTATTAGTATTTCAGTATTAGTATTTGCCGATCAAAATTTTAATAATATTAGTATTTCAATATCAGTATTAGTATTTGCCGATCAAAATTTAAATAATATTAGTATTTCAATATTAGTATTAGTATTTCAATATAAGTATTTGCCGATCAAAATTTTAATAATATTAGTATTTCAATACCAGTATTAGTATTTCAATATTAGTATTTGCCGATCAAAATTTTAATAATATTAGTATTTCAATATCAGTATTAGTATTTCAGTATTAGTATTTGCCGATCAAAATTTTAATATTAGTATTTCAATATCAGTATTAGTATTTCAGTATTAGTATTTGCCGATCAAAATTTAAATAATATTAGTATTTCAATATCAGTATTAGTATTTCAATATTAGTATTTGCTGATCAAAATTTTAATAATATTAGTATTTCAATTTATATATTATCTAACGAAAGAAATGGATTAAAAGTATTAAATAAAGGTTAATTTACCTAATTAATCTTTCCCCAATAACTTATCATTGTTATAATCATTAAGATAGTATCAATTTCAGAATTATGTTATCACAAATTAACCGTTGGAAAACTTTACACTGGCTTGTTAATTCTTGAAAATTACAGAGCAAAGAAATCAGGCGCTGAGGTAAAACACTTTCAAATCTTTTAAATAATTCATTGTTTTAAATGTATAATAATTTGGAATAATTATTATTATTACATTTTTCTTTTTCTTTCTTTCATTTATTTCCTTTTAACAAATAATACATATTAATATTGTTTATTGCTAATAATAATATTCCTTAATTACAGGTATTAATTATTAGCTTATACCTATTAAATATATATTTGTAAATTACGCATAACATATCAATTTAGGATTAAATTTCATGTCAATTTGTTGAGCAAAAAATTTATCTGAAATAATCTGTCAAATATTTCCGACATCAAATCACTGTGATAAGACAATAGAAGAAGAATAATATTTAAATTAAACTTTTCATCATTAATTATTAAATATATTAAATTTTTTTTAAGTGTTAAAAATTTGAAAATAAAAATTGAATATTTTATTAATTTTAAAATTATGCAATATATATTATCTTCCTATGAAAAAAACAAAAACGAGTTAATTTAGTGAAATATAATTAGCAAAAAAAACAAAAGAAAAATTTCAGTTGGCCAAGCGCAAACGGCAAAGAGCCGCACTTCTACTTATGACTCATCGTCATGCATTATTTTTATTGGATGACGAAAAAGAGGTTTCATACTGAAACACAACAAAAACAAACAAAAACATATATCCCTGTACACCCTAATAATTTTCCCATAATTTTATTCCTTATCATATCACACACATTATTCCTTATCATATCACACATATTATTTCCTATCATATCATAAACCTCTTTTTTTTGCCATTCCTTTCAATATTTTATTCATCTCTTCCTTTCCCTGTTAATTTTCCGTTACTTTTAATTATTTCGATTTAATCATTTCCTTTTTTTCCGGAAAATTAAATCGGTAAAAAAAGAGTGAAAGTTAAATTTAGTGTTATCTAACCTATATTGCATGCATTTCTTTTTCAAAACCTTTTTATAAATAATTTCATTTTTCAAATTCAATTATTTATTCTTAAATATTATGCAAATTATCCATCGATAATTTTAATTAATATTTCATCCTTTATTTTTTGATCATTGTTTTAAAATATTTTATAATTTTTGCACGCTTCCATTTTCGTTTAATTAGCAATTTGTTATGGAAAATTTCTTTTTCTGCATGTTATACGGTAAAAGTTGAAATTTGTGAAGTTTTTTAAAAAATTTCAGAGACCATATTCGTTATTTTCAACATTGGTTGATACAATTAAAGCGGTAAAAACTGATAGTGGCGGAAATTCACCGAATAGTCAATTATCGCCTAAACAAAGTTTTACAGTTGTGTAAGATTGTTTCTGCTTCTCTTTTTTTTACCAATTTATTTTAATGTTAATCAATTTTTAATTAATTGTAAATAGTTCCAATGATAATTTACCTTATTTATACAGTATTACAAGTGATAAAATGCATACAGTACCGCAGTGTAATGATCAAATATATTTACAGTATCATATTATTATAATAACTGACAAAAATATGGTAAAAATTCGTTTTGAAAATATATCACAGTACGAATTTCATTGCACAATTATTGATTATTCTATTATCTATTTTTTATAATTGAAAAAATTGATTAAATTATTTGTTAAATATTTTAGTGATAAACAAACTGCTGGTCATCGTCTCTCAGGAATTATCTCAAAAATACGCAGTCGAGAAGGCAGCATAAACAACAATGATTCACCACAACAGGTAAAATTATAATTTAAATTACTGATGAAAGGGATGATAACCATTATTGTTTATGTATATATTGCTTTAAGTATTTTATATTAGTTTGGTCCAGTTTTATCTGATAACTATACGGCATAATATATACGTCTTTTATATCTTGTTTAATGCATCCTAAAATATCTTTCATCTTTGTAGCAATATTATTTGAACCGTAGCGATCATAGTAAAATATTTGAGCTTAAATTTCTTAATCATATTTTAATTTTTACCACATTATGTATAACTTTTTCCTCTGAGAGGATAGGAAAGAGGTTCTCTTTGTTGTTTTCTGCTTTCACTTAATTAAATTAAAACAAGGTATTGCTATTTAATGATTATTTATAAGTTAACTTTTGTTGCAACTTACATTTGTCAAAAAATTCATTTAATTTTTGCATAATTAAACTTTTGAAATGCTTGAGTTTGTTGCCGTTAGATATCTTATCTTTTTATCTTATTATTTGTTTTATCTTATCTTTTTTTTATATATCTTATCTTTTTTTAGATATCTTATCTTTGTTAGATATCTTATCATGATATCTTATTTTTTCCTTCTCTTTCTCCTCATCCTCTTCATCTAGGTTTTTTTGGTATGAAAATTAACCTTACCTGAGAGACATATCAGTATAAATGGTTCAGGTATATGATATGATTAGCACCGATACTTGCGAATTTAACAGCAAAATAAGCAATTGCATTTATTCATTCAACCTTTTAATTGCTATGTTTTAGCATTCATTTTATTTGCTAATCATAATAATAATATTAGTGAATGATTTCAGATAAAACAAGTGCAATCATCACAACGATTACAAAAAGATTCACCGTATTATTCACGTAGTATCACTCTATGTAGTCCGAATTCACCAACTGGTCATTATTATCGTAGTAGGTTTTGAAAATAATAAAACACCGATAAGATATGGACAGAATTTTTTTCTTTCAAACTTACAGTTTTCTAATAAAATGTTATTAATAATAAAACTGTAATAAAAGTAATTATTGGAATAATTTTAATCTGAAATTCATTTTCTGCTGAATTTTTATTATAATCGAATATTTGTTATGAAAGTTTTATCAATCGTTGGGGTTGAAAATATTTCAGATGAAGAAATTTTGGTTGAAAATATTTCAGATGAAGATAATTTTTTGTAGTATACATTTTTTTGTAGATTTTTTAGAGTATATTTTTGTAATTGAAAATACTTTGATTATTTGTAATTTCCGACAATTTACTATTTTAACAAAATATTTTATCATAAGTAAAACAATACAAATTACTTTCTTTAATACTTATGATTGTGTTCAATTTTAAAAGCTTTGTAGGACGAAGACGTTCACGTTCCTTAGAAGCTTCACCATCACGTTCAAATTATATCCAACAAACATCACGAGGTTATAATTCACCGACGCAATTAAGGTCAAATATCTTTTATATGATCACCTTTTTACCCTTTAATTTGTGTAGTTTTTATCGATGTTTTATAGTATAACTTTCTTTACTCCTTAATGAATTCGATTGTAAATAAATTTGAAATTTTCTAAAATTTAACTACAACAATTCAACTATGCATGTTTGAATTATTATTACTAATATTTTCATTTAAAAAGTTATCCCACTATTGGTAGGTGATAATTATTTAATAATTAATGTGAAATTAATTCTGTAATGGATAAATGGCCTTTCTAACGTATTCCGACACCTATAATATTTCAAATACACTTATAATTATTGCAGGATTAAGTTTTGAAGAAGTTATGTCTTACATTTCTTATCATTTATTCTTATCATGAATTATATTTTTTTCGTTTTTTTTAAAAGAATTTTTTACTAATGAATTTTAAAATTATCTGAAACATTTTTTTAAGTAATTTTACAAAGCTACGAGGAGAGGGATATTCATGTCCTCAAGTACCACCACATCGATCAATACATAATGATGATGATGATGATGTTGATAATAATGATGATGGTAATGATAATGGAAGTTTATCATTGATTGATGGTTATTTGCCGAATCGATCACGACGATTATCACCGACACGTACAACTCTTATGAATAACCGTATCTATTCAGGTAAATTTGATTAACAGTTGTCTTTTTTTAACAAAAAAAATTCCTTTTGCATTATCAATACAGTGTTCAAATTATTATTGCTAGTGATAATGATGATTTGTGATTTTATTTTTTTTAGGTACACCATCACCACAAATGGTTACGGATGATGATGATGAACCAATGCCAAGCGTAGTATGTCAACGAAGACTTCCATTAATTGGTACATTACCTCTAACAACATCATTACGTTCATCAGATCATTATACAACTCCGTATCATACGGCACGAAGTGATCTTGACGTAAGTGGCGGTAGTGGTGCTACTTACTATACACCAACCGACGATATACCATCACCATCTCCCAGTTCTGCGCACAATTTCTCCACTTATGGACAACGTATTTTTTCATTTTCTGTTCACAAAATGAAATTATTAGAATTAGTCAATTTTCACACTTTATATTTTGAATTTTTGAAACTTTTCAAATTTCCTTTTTTTTCATTTTATTAAAATACAGAATTATTTGATTATTAATTTCAGAACTTCTGCTATGTTTTCATTGGAAAAAAAATGCATTTAGCGATTAATGAAATATTAGCAAACAATTAAGAGAAATTTTACGATTGAATCAATCAACTGAATTGCTTATTTTATTGTTCCAGGTAGTAATTTTCGATCACGATTACCTGTTGGTTATAATGATTGGAGGACATCATCTGTTACCGTTGGCTATCATGGTAATAATATTACACCATATAGTCGAGTATCACGTAGTGGTAATAGTGCACCAACGATAATTTATGCCGGTAATCGATTACGGCCAATGATACGAGTAATACGAGCCCAACCAGGTAATATGCCACTCAGCGATTCTGATAACGATGAACCAAAATGGGCTGTTGTTTAATCTCTTCTATAACCTTATTTCTTTTTACCTTCTATAGGCGGAATGATCACATGATGTTAGATTAAATTATGAAAAATTCTCATTAGTTTGGTTATTAGTTGGTCCGCTCAGCTACTATGCTAGTTTGGCTATTTTTCATTTGGCTATCAATCTTACCTAATTTCGATGATCAACCTAATTCATATCTAATCGCCAATGATTTAGAAATTGATATCATTTACAATTATCTTTTAGTTATCATTCCCTTTAGTCCTTTCTAGTACCATTAGATTATTAAATTCTTATACAATAATATCCTTGTTTGAATTTGTAATATCAGCAGCTATTATGAAAAGCCAGTCTTCATTGAATTGTCTTTAATTGATAATCTGAGGTACTTACATCTAAAGAATATAAACCTAAGCCATTCCAATTACTCTTTGCTTACTTTTACTAACAAATTATGTATATGAGAAATTTTCAACTTCGTATCATACAACTAACATTTTTTGATTCAATTTCTTTCGATCTCAATTTTAGCAAAAAATCCATTGATATGATTATTCCGCACATTTGTATCATTGATATGATTATTCCGCATATTTGTATTGTATGTTTTTAAGACGGACCATATGACAAATGGGATCAAACTTACTGCCCGCTTTTAGCATCGATTTTTTTGTCGTCAAATTATAAGCTTGTAAAAACTGGAAAATTAAAAATTAACCTGAGAAAAAAACATTTGCTGGACTTAATTTGGTTGTGGTGATAAGAAGAAATATTCCTACTCTTCGCTTTTCTTCTTTTTCCTTCCTCATTTTTTGGGAATACATTATTACCGGAAATACATCAAATCCGGAAATATATCAATTATAACCGGAAATATATCAAATCCCTAATTTCATTACTTGAAGTTTCAAGCAATTTATTGGTTTTCTGTGGGTATTATGATTGCTGAAAGGTTGTTCGACCCATTAGAGATTGTTTTTATGTAAATATTTTGCACAGAAAGATGACGGAATACTAAAGACTCTTCGGACGATTTAATTACGAATAATATATGTGCTTAAATCGACATCGAAATATATATGTAGTAATTATTTCAACTACTAATTGAATTTATTTGATAGATACCAGAAATTAAATACAAATCGAAAAATATATGGGTCGAACCAAGGTTAAACTATATAGCAAAATTGTAAATTAAAAATACCGTTACCACTTTCCCAATTTAATATATTTTGCCTAATTTTCCAGTTTTCACACTACACATAATTTATGCGTTCATGTTCACCATCTGCAATACGAACACGCAAAATGCTAATTCAGTGATTATTATTATCTTGTTGCTCAACACATGCATCATCTTTTTTCTTTATCTTTTATCATCAAATATTTTGCTTGGATTAAAATTATATTCCATTTTGTTATAATCATTTTACGGATTAAATCATCAGACGTATTCTATAGCTTTCTTCAGAAATGAGGAAGAAATCTCAAGATGTATGCAACGGTCATAGAAGAATTTTTAGTGATATGAATTAGCAAAAGTTAGGACATCCATGACCGGTTCAAGAAATTGGAGAATATCCGGAAGCCATTCTTTGATGCCTTTTTGAAACCCAACCACATCTATTTCAGGCTGTATGGGACTGAGATTCATGTCCTATAATAAGAGCACTTTTTGACTGAACTTCCACTATTAGGAAAATAATAAAAACTCAATAGCTTTCTTTCGGACATACCGAAAGAGCTCTCGTTCCTTCAGTAATTTTAGCTTATTTAATGTAAAATGGTCAATCCAGAATATGTCGTTTATTTAAGAAAAAATATCACATTTGGAGAATTAGATCAAAAGCTGTTTAAATTAAAGGCATTTTACATAGAAATACAGGATTCATTTTGTAATACTTTAGATAATGAAGATCCCTTTATCTTTAAAGAAGGAAGAACAAATTTAATGAGATCGCTTATGCCTTAGAACATCAACTGCTGTATTAAAGGGAAGAATCTTTTGACAAACATCACAAAAATATTGAATATTTGGTTTCTTTTCGGCTGTTTTATTGATTGCGAGCTCGTCCTCTAGCTGAAAAATATCTAGGATCACAACTGAACAAGTATTAAACACTCAAAAATTAAAAACATTTTCATTGAGAAGTTATTTGAATCGCCCAAACTGCACTTAAAGCAGAAACCAAATGGATAATTTAGCAACTGCTATCAAAACTTTGTTTAATGAGTTCCATTAATTATGTCAGGTACACAAGAGCTACGAATAGAAGACAATATAATATGAATTAGGTATTCGTACGAAAAATACTGTTGACCTGAAGTAAATGTAGCATGACAAAAACAACCTTTGAATCGCTTTGGGCTTCATAAAGTCGCATTGATGTTAGCATTTCTTCATCATCTTCGTTCAGCTTTTCGCCCGATGGAAGTATGAAACCGAGTTCTTTATTATCGTCTGGACAAGCACGACGAGTTAAACTAAACTTTATGAAAAATTAATTTGTGAAAAAAATGGGTTTCATACTTCGAAGTCAAATCTGACCTTCATACATCTGAGTTTTTTTAAATTTCATCTTATATATGCCAAACATTTGAATCTAAGTCTTTTGCATGAACTTACATATATTCAACGTTTGATCGCAAGAATGACACAACACTTTTAGCAAGTGCATGACTACAAGAAAGATCTCCTTCAAGACTTCTTTTAAGAGCTCTAGCAAGTTGTTGACGAGTCGCAGATGCCTGTTCCACAATGGTGAAAAATTCTATAATCCGTGGAAATTTATAGCTAATAAAATCGTCACAGATAATTGAATAGTCATCTTCTGAACATACTACCTGAAAAAACCAAGCAATTTTTTGAATTTAAGAAATAAAATTCATGTGCAATTTACGTACAATGGACATACCGATTTTGATAGCAATAATAAAGCCAGCGCTGGTACACGTAAACTATTGCAAATATATGGCTTCATAGTTTCTATAAATGACGCAAACGAAATTAGCTGGTGATATCTCGATAAACCCTGTAATGAAAACAACAGTATAAGTTAAGCAAACGTCATTCTCATTCCATATTAGAAGTAACTTAATGCTAAAATCAGTTTAAAAGAGGACAGACAGAACAATATTCAAGGAGTAGAAAATTAAGCAAAGAGAGTAGAATAAAACTAGCACAATAACATTTCTTAGAATTCATCTATAAAAAATCAGCTTTATTTTTGGAAAAAAATATAAAACTAAAACCTTGTCGCTGCAATCATAATTCAAAGCGTCCGGTAAAAGTGCTAAACAACTATTCGGATGTAAGACAACAAATGGTTTTCTTCGCGTATGAGCAAAAAGCTCATTTCCGATCTGAAAAGAAACTTAAGTGAGATCGAATTATGTTGGAATGTATCGAAAAAAAATGGAAAAAGAGAAAGCTATGATAGTAAAAGCCATGATAGTCAGCAATAAAATAGAAGCATGTATCCAATAGTTTGAGCTTTGACTACTTGAGAGGTAAAATTTCCAAAAAAAAGGAAATAATTGCAATTCTCCTGCAATTCTATCTCGTCTTAAACTTCATATTAAAACAGAAATACCCCACTTTGTACGAATTGTATTGGTCCAGTATGGCATACTGAGGATGGACACCGGCCGTGACAATAAATTTCAGGATCGAAAAGGTAGCATCATTTAGTCGATGAGACTTTAAAATATTCCGGATACCGCTTTCTCGATTTTCCATATAGAACTCAAGAACTTGGACATTATCCATAAGTGAAAGGTTACCGGAAAAAAGCAACTGAATTATATTTGGCATAGAAACTTGCATCTGCAATCATTTGAAGGAAACAAGTCGGATAGAAGAGCTTATGATAAAAAGTGTTTACTTTATTCAAAAAGAGTCATTTCTGCATATGAAAAGACTAAGTGATCCCATTAATTCATAATTCTCTAAAAAGAGAAAAAAATTTTTCTAACCTTCAGAATTCATTAATGTATCGAAATGAGCTTTCGGCTTCAATATTTTCCGTTTCTTCACTTCATAACTGAAAATTATGATTTACGAAACAAATTATGTATTTTTTGAAGCGTAAAAGAGGATTACAGTTGTTTATAAATAATTTAATATTTTTCGTATATCTTTATTTCTGATAAACGGACCGAGCATCTTTCTTTAGTTCATTGAGACGCTTTCTATCACCAGCATTAATACGGCGTTCACGGCTATCCACATCACTTTGTGCTTCCAAGATACCACTGTGCTCCAATAGCTCTCTGAATTGGCGTCGTAACTGTCTAAAATTATAAAAATTATAACAACAGTGAACATAGTTTAATTTTCATGATGCAAACATCTTAGACATAGCATAACTACTAAGATGAACTAATCATGAAATCGTCATTCCTCATGATGATTAAGATATACGTTCTTTAAAAATAAGGAAGCGACAGATGAAAATAATTCATGATCAGCAATACTACTGTCAAATATATTGAGAACCAAAATTTTTGCCTGATTTCATACATTCGTTGAACATCGATTCCCTTCTCCCTACCCCATTGACGTATATCACCACGTTCAGCTTGTATCTCCACAAATTCTCTAAAAAGATGGATAGAAATTCAAAAAACTTCCTTGAAATTTCATCAAAATATTTAAAAGATATTTATACTGATCCATAACATAAAGTATAGTGCGTGTTGGCAATGAACCTCTGAGAAACTATATCGTAACTTTTCTGTATCCCAGAAATGTCGCTATCATCGAATGAGCATACACATGAAGCCAACAAATAAACAAGGGAAACTCACTAAACTGAGACACTTTAAGTCGTGCTCCTAGTCCCTTTTGTATCTGAGTCTTGGATTCCACAATTATTAAATATTTCCAGTTATTATAGAGTAATGCTCAATTCAAAACAACGGAAAGGAATATGGAATATCCACAGAGTGTATTCATGAAGTTTGGATTGATGTCATTATATAAAATACAAGGTCAATTTAAAATTCACCGATATGCATTAATCAGTGCAAACGGATCGCCATTATCAGACATAATATTTTTCCTTCGGTCCAATATATCCGGTTCCCGAAATGATCTATTGATAAAAGGTGAACTAGTTGCTAAACTTGCAGCAATTGTTAACGATGGTTCGACTTGTTCAAAAACACAGCCATATATTAGAACCTCAAAAGATTTTATTGATAAATAAGAAATGAAAAGAGCATAAGATAATAATTCATCACAGAAAATAGAAAAATAAAGTTGTCGTCTCTTAGATGCTTATTCCACATCCCAACTATTTTTTTCTGGACACATGCATATAAACATTTAAAACGAACTTTTGCAACTGGAATTTCCACCGGAATATTCGCTATTATCTTGCCCAAAGGTGTTAAAGTCTTTGTACTACCAGCTTCCAATATTCCCTGCCTCCATAGGCTTTCTACTGCTTCGTCTAACTCACCCATATTCGGTTTCTCAATAAATGGAAATTCAAGCGGTGAAACTGAAAATAGAATAAAATATGAATTTAAGATATGGTAAAATGTTTATATAATAGTCCTAAAAAACTAATTTTTGTCCGGAACTTAAAACTGAAACTTCAGCACCAAATATTACATCTAAACAGTAGAATAAGCTAGTTTACTAAATGTTGAAAAAATAAGTTGATATTGTTGTAATTGGCATAAAAGCATTCACTTCCGAGATTCATACTGACGATTTGCATGGCAAGTGATTCCAACGAAACTCTGTTAATTTCGGAAATTGTGAACGGATCCATTTTATCAAAATGTTGCTGAGAATAAAGCCTGTAACAAATACCTGGACCAGTTCTACCAGCACGACCTGAAAATGTTACAAAGGTATTACTTTCATTTTAATTTCCTCCTTTCCAAGGTCGAGTATAAAACACTCGTTCTTGGTGAAAACTTCCCTTTTCAGTTTCTAGAACTCCACAAACAAAAGAATGATGCGAAAGCTTGAAGATGAGAAACCTTTCCGTTGATCAGCAGATGCCTGAGAAGTCCAATATTCTCGAAGTGAGTGCATTCCTGTTTTTGAATCAAATTTTACCAGATTTACCTTTCCAGAATCAATAACAAATCGGATCTGTAAGAAAGTAATTCTTTTACATAAATAGTATTATGTATATGAGTATAAATTATATTTGTAACAAAAAATAATCTGGAAGAATAAAAATATAAGTAACAATGCCTGGTCGATGGTAATAGACGTTTCTGCAATATTGGTACTTAAAATGCATTTTCGAATTCCTAATGGCGCTATATCGAACACTTTGTCTTGTTCTTCTGTTGATAACGTGCTGAATATATACCCAGATAATTTAACAAAGAATGTTAATTGAGATCTGTGCCTTCATTTAGGTTTTATAAAACTATTGTTATTTCACAAATAAGTAAAATTTGCGACTGAAATGTTACAATGCAAAGAAATCATTCGACAATCTCACCTGTGCAGCGTTAAAATAATCCATTTATTCGATGTTTCCGCGTAAACTTTTAAGGCTTCTGCAACCGTTGATATTTCTGAGACACCATTCAGGAATATTAGAACGTCACCTCTTTCATTACTATCAATTTCTGCATCAATCATTTGAAGGATCTAAATATATCAAGGATTATTGCTGAGACTGCATAATATATCCTAATCAAAAAAAAATAATTTGAAATTGCAAAAAAAGTGTTGTTCCTTCTTTGCTCTAAAAGAGTTGCAAACTATAGGAAAAGGTAGCTTAAATAACTGAGGGATTTAAAGAGCATCACTGCTGAATGGCACTATAAAAATCTTCCAGAAAATGTTATATAATTAAATTGATCATGTCTCCTTTTCTTAAGATACGTAGCATACAAAAAGAACACTTTCGTTTTTTGCATAGGAATAAATAATTCACATTAAGATATGGTGCGGGGTCAACTTTTGCTTTCTTTTTTTCCGATTCGTATTGATTGTGCTCCTTTATTGGCATGTATCGTAGCTCGATAGGATAAAGGCGTCCATCTACCTATAACAATTAGCAGTTTTTAGAGCTAGAAGCTTTGATTGAAGAATAGAAAGATCTAAAGATGGAAGAAGATATTCCAGACGAATAATCATGGGTAGATTTGTCCTAAAGTGCCAGGTAATGTAAACTGTAAATTGGAGAGCAAAAACCCTAAATTGATTTAAATATAGCAGCTATTCACTGAAGATCGTTGAAGACAAAAACTTCTAAAAATACTTTAATTCTTCAAAAAACACCTTGATAATAGGACTATCTTCAAAATAGTTCTGAAACAATTCCAGATTGATGGTAGCACTCATTAAAATCAGCTTCAAATCATCTCTCCTTCGTACCAAGTTGCGAAGTAGTCCTAACAAGAAATCACCGGATAAATTGCGTTCATGAATTTCATCCAGTATAATGACCTGAAAATGTCATCCAATGAAAATGATAAACTTCTCTAAGGAAAACATACAAACTCTTTTTTACACATATTTAATAAGTGGTCACTAATAATCACTGAATGCTCAATACTAGTCAAGAATAAGTATTTTAGGTGACCACAATTTTTTTAGTAGGCTACTTAAAAGCATTCATTTGATTACTGACATGCAACGTTTTCTGCTATTACTATTTTCCCCATAATCTGAATTTGAAAAATAACACAAAAAGTGACCAAAATAAATTATTCTATACATTATACTGATTAAGATCCGGATCCGACTGCAGCTGCCTTAGGAGTAGCCCTTCAGTGACAAATAATAGCCGAGTTCTTGATGTACGTGTTTTCTCGAATCTTATTTGATATGCGATCATACTCCCATATTCATTTAAAGTTTCATAAGCAACTCGTCGAGCAAGAGCTATTGCTGCAATGCGACGTGGCTGCGTACAAACGATACGGTCATAATCTGCATCCAAAAGATATTGTGGAACCTAAAACTGTTCAATTTTTTGATTCAAGTCAAAAATTCTGGTGCTACACTGAAAAAGATTTTCTGCTCATGTATAAAAAATATACCTGAGTACTTTTGCCGCAACCCGTATCACCAGCGATAAGAAGAACTTTTACCTGAAATAAAATCTTTGAATTCGTGTAAATGGGTAAAGTACCAAAAATAAGTCGCCTTCAATTCTAAAGATAATAAACAACTGTCGAAAAATCTAAGATTTCAAGCGGGTGAATTAAATAAATGACAGTATCGTTGACTAATTTCAATATAAAACTAATTTCCGTTTCAATTACTCCACACTATTTAAAAAAGTTCTGCCGAGAGATTTTTATCAAAAACTAACATTTTGAAAGACTTCCAAAATTTCGTCACGTTTTGCCCAAATAGGTAAGTTTTTCTGGGAGACACGCAATCGCCGTAACTGATTGAATTTCATTCGATTCTCATAAGCAATAAACGATGAAAGAGCAAAGGTATATTCGGATAAGGTATGTTCCGGAACCTAAAAAATATAATCCAGGTAAATACATGACTTGTACCAATATTTCTTTGAATGGAATATACCAAAAATTAATAAAATAGTGATGATAATGTCAATAAAAGAAGTTAAAACCGAGAGCTAGGTAAATCAAAAATAAATAAAAAGAAAAAGAATAAATTTAAAACTAATCGAAAGAAACACAAGGAATAAATATTAGGAGAGTTTTTGCATTGATATGAAGCTAGCGCTCGATAAAAGTTTCGAAAACACAATATACAAACAATTTACTTCTTTTAGTTCAAGATTATCTTTTTCCCGAATGTCTACAGCTAAACGGGCGGTATGATGACGCACGAACTTGGAACTATTTGGAATATCCAGGATGCTACTCGCTGATGCGGTGGCGTCTTCCCACTGCTGTTCGCATTCCTTCCTTCTGATAATATGATAAATGGTTATGACGATCAAGTTGTATGCTAATGAAACAGTATAACTGGTGAAGTATCTCAAAAAATTAAACTGATAGAAATAAACAGTGATTTCAAGATAATGATAGCAAGTTAGAGTTAGAAATGTTGGTTATGATAAACTTTATATTACTGATAATGACTCCAGAACAATAACAACTATTGCATAATTATAACTATATTATTCTGTAATGAGACAATAATTACTTGAAAGTTTAAATAATTGTTGAACACCTGTAATAAATTAACGTATTTAGAAACTTTTGCTACTTATAGTTGAAAGACAAAAAAAACCGCAAATTCTGACAATATCATCTTCCGGGATCTGTAAAATTACCATCATCTAAGCTAAAAAAGTAAAATAGTATAAGGAAGCAAAATTCCCAAGGAAAAAATTTTAACATAGAAAGAAGTTTTTAGGAAAAAAGTAATAAGAAAGGGAAACGGAAAGAAAAAAAGTACTTTTGAAGTTTAGTTCGTAACTTGGAGAAAAATTTCCGGAAAAGTTTCTCGATATCTGAATCTTTTTCGGCTATTTTCCATGGCTCATTACCGAAGAAGAATCGTCGCAAACGGCCATAATGTAGTTCCGAATTAGAATCCATTCCATAAGTATGCTTTGAACTGCAAGGAGAAACGAATTTTCCAAAGCTCTTTTTTAATATGATGCAGAGAATGTACGAAGAAAATTAAAATGGGAATTGAATGAGATGTAAATCTAGTGTTTGAGTGGTTTTAAATGAAGTCGAAATGATGCCTAGGAGAATGAAATCACATTTAAAACTAAGATTGATCATCTAAATTACTCGAATGAAATTAGAATTTGAAGGAATTAAATTAGAACTGAAATTGAAATAGAGGAGGCCTCCAGTTTTTGTAAGCTGAAATTTCATTCGAATTAGTTTAAATAGCATCAAAATTTAGTTGCGATTAGAACAGGAAGTTAACAAAGTCTCATTAATTATTATAAATTAATTATTACAAAAATAGAATGCAAAATCCCCAAAACCTGCAGTGGAATTAAAACCAACTAATGAAAGGAACTTTTAAAAAAGGATGGAACTCCAATAACTCATATACAGTGCGAAATAGTATGGGTTTGAGGAGAAACGAAAGACTGGAATAGTGCAGAAACTTCCTAGTGATGAAGCGGAATCAACAAATAGGAGTTGCCAAGAGAAAAAGAGCGAAAATTTCAAGTTACTTTGGATTTGAATTTAAATTAAATTGTGGGGAGGATTCGCTAGTAGGGGACTTGAATTTCCTTATTATTATAGCAAATTGGTCCAATTTGCTAAACTGAAATGGATCCAGTAACTGTAAAAAAAAATTTTGCAAAAGTAGTTTATTTTAAGGTAATTCTCATTGCAAGCGATATTACGTTAGACAGATAAATTTTAAATGGTAAATAATGGCTTTACTAATACTAATAGATTTTACCTATCAATCTCGACGACAAAGGCATCCTATACCAATTTCGAGCAAATGATCGTTTTTTGACAGTCTCGAGCTCGTACATTATTCCGGAAGGCAGGAACATTTTATATCAGTCTAGTGCACATAGCCATTTCACAGTAATTATTATATTGCACATTTTATATCAATCTAGTGCACATAGCCATTTCATATTAATTATTATATTGCACATAGCCATTTCACATTAATCCTGATTTATTATATGAAGTATTTTACTATATCGAGTATAATATAGTGATTTATTATATCAGGAATGGTTTTCATTTCGTATACAAACTGTCGATAAAATTGTCAGATAACATATAATCGATTAGATAAGAAGATCACTTATATGTCATTTTCCTTTTCTATTTTTTGCATATCTTGCAAAGATGACAGCCTAATTGGATGCGTTTTTAATTTGACAATTTACTGATGCCATATTTGAATTTACAAGTACCTTTTGTCGTATACGATACAATCTGTAATGATTGCAATGATTGTTTCACTTTTTTGAATTTTTATTTGTTATCATTTGGCTCTTACATTTTCTCTATGCTATATTCAATTATATATCTCAAGAATATTCGAAAAGAAAAATTTGTAGAATATTAAAAATAATCATCATTTGTTTTTCCTTCGAGATACTACCATTATTATCCTTAATGATCATTGCTACCAATATTATTATTTTATTATTATTAATTACCATAATTGTTATTGATTTAACTGTTGTAAAAAAATGCTTTGCGCTAATGAAAATATCATAGTAAATTTTTGATCTAAATGACTAAACAAAGTATCGAATTTACTATGATCGAAATGATAAACAATTTTCTTCCAACATAAATATAAAATGAAATGACAATTTCTTTCAAAAAGTAATTCACAAACCATAAATTCTTATTGATTGTTTACATTTGCTTATTGCTTTGATGAAAAGATTTTATAATTTGATTCAAAAAAAGATATTCACGAATATCGAATTTACTGAACACAGTCATCTAAATAACTATAACGTTATCTTTGCTATATAGTGGTAACGATAGTTGCATCTCATAAAATCCAAAAGCACTAATTTCAAAACGTACAAGTTATATATTCTTTAAAATAGATAATCACAAAGAAACAACTTAGAATATAATGTGATCGATAAAACTGGCACTAATGCATTTATTCAGAGTGATAACAACATGAATTCTTCCCAATAATTTTGATTTAAGCATGGAGGGAAGCTCAAAAAGGAAGTGTTGATCAAAGGATCTTTAAGAAATGAAAACAAATGTATTGAATAATAATAACAGTGATCTTTGCACAATATAGTATGTTACAGAGACTTCTGAATTGTACGAAATAATAGTTTATCATGGAGGGTGAAAGAAAAGAAATCCCGCATGATCTTATTTTTGTGATCCACGTTGCAATATCTTTTCTTTTATTGAAATTACCATCAATGTTCACTTCACAGCTTCAATAAAAAATTTCGATGAAAGTCCTGGGCTTAACTAAACATTTTTTCAGGCAACGATATCAACATGGTTAAAATAATAATGTAGAATGTTGTCCCTAAATTTTTTAATTCATGAATAACTGAAAAGTAAAGTCAGCCAAATGCTTAATTAAAAAGAAGAATTAGGACAAACATTGACTGAATTAGGACAACTATCTTCGACCGGTTTCTGCGTATTAGAATGTACTTGAGTATAGAAATATGCCAAAGTTATAAAAAGATGATCATCTGCAGTTGTCGAATAGATGGTGTCTTGCCCTATCGTTTAATCATCGTAAGGATAATTAGTTACTAATGAATCTGAAAAGTTTGATATTCATATTTGGTATTCAATCATTCATTCGGTATATTGACCATTTCCTATACTTTTTCTTTATTTTATTTTTCTAACTTTCAACTTCCGTTAATTATTTTAAATGAATGATATGATTTTCAAATATTCAATTATTAGAGTTCTCAATATTGCTTATCTTTTTTTTTGATAATAACTTAAAACAAACGGATCGAGAGTGTTGCAATACTACACGTGCTCTGTTTTGAAGGTATACTTTTGAAGCTTCTCGTTCGGTGTTATTTGTAAATGCCGATTTGAATAAAACCTGTTAGCTATTTGGTTGATGAATCAAACATTTATCGATTCCCAATGTTATGTTCATCAACCGAAACGCGAAAAGGTTTACCGTATACCGTGGTTCCAAATATTCGTTCAATAAATGAGACCAGTTGATGTTATACTGCAAAATTCTATTTTTATTTATCATAAAATTCCCGATAATTGCCGATGTCATTCTCACATTTTCCAATTAATAAATTAATAACTTACTTATAAATTCATTTGATAGCTAAATAATACCCACAATCTTATAATATAAGAATACAAGTAAAAAATTATATCAATATCATTGATATACAAATAGTCTAATCTATTTGATAGTATAATCATATAGATCGATTGATAGATGAATTGTTAAATAGATGGATATATGGTTGCGTAAACTTTTCCTCTAAATTTTAAAAATTTTGTCCAAAAGAATTATTTCTATTTTTTCAGATCCTTGATTATCATTAATGAAATAAAAATTAATTGACAGTACTAATTCAAGATTGTAGTACCGCTAAGTGAAATTTTTTCATTCCATTTTAACCTTCCTCTTTTCTATCTTCTTTCATTTCCTGTCAACTTCTTTCATCGCATATAAGAAACAAAAGAATAAGGACAATATATATTTCAATATATATTATATATATATATATAAATATATATGCAATATATATTTCAAATTCAATTTTATTATTTCTCCAAGAAATTTCCCTCATTAATCGGTTTATTTTCTTATTGACTGTTAAACATTATTATTGTAAATGTTAAGAAATAATAAGCGTCATGTAATATTATATTAGCAAGGCATTGTTGGAAATCTAAAATCAATTTGTTAGGCCTATATCTTTTCAATGAGCCTATTATTAAGACGTTTATTAAAAATTTCGAAATAAAATTATTTATACTTTCAAATATTTTTTGCTTTTTTAGCTTCCTCACGAGTTTTCGTCACTTCGAAAACTTACTTAGCACAATCTCGAATGATCAATTCTAAATTGACGATACGTTTTGCTTTTGGTGCTTCAATCATAATATTAGGATACAATGGTACCACGGATCGATCCAATTCCATCTGAAACATATTAAACTGTGAATTGATATCAAATATTTTTAAATGCATACGTTTAATTTTTCAAACAATAAGTTCAAATTATAATAAATTATTCTCATCAACAGTTTTATGTTTTTTGCTTTCTTTCCAAACTTGTAGTTTAAATAACTTTTTGGAATTCGAAAAAAAATAGTGAGCAAATGTGGTACTCTAACTCGAGCAAATCCATTACTACTTTCGGTTATTACAATTTTCGATGGATCACGCTCGTAATTGGTTATTAACATAAATGGAGATCTTAGAAAAGAAATTAGTGACTTTTAATTCCTGTTGAATTACCACACCTATTTTCCAGTGGACCGAAAAGCATTTTGCAACTTATGAACAATGAAAGAAGAGATATTGCAACGTGGATCAGAGAAATAAGATCATGCGGGATTTCTTTTCTTTCACCCTCCATGATAAACTATTATTTCGTACAATTCAGAAGTCTCTGTAACATACTATATTGCGCAAAGATCGCTGTTATTATTATTCAATACATTTGTTTTCATTTCTTAAAGATCCTTTGATCAACACTTCCTTTTTGAGCTTCTCTCCATGCTTAGATCAAAATTATTGGGAAGAGTTCATGTTGTTATCACTCTGAATAAATGCATTAGTGCCAGTTTTATCGATCATATTATATTCTAAGTTGTTTCTTTGTAATTATCTATTTTAAAGAATATATAACTTGTACGGTTTGAAATTAGTGCTTTTGGATTTTATGAGATGCAACTATCGTTACCACTATATAGCAAAGATAACGTTATAGTTATTTAGATGACTGTGCTCCAAAAGCACTAATTTCAAACCGTACAAGATTTCAGATTCAAATGCAAATAACCAACAAAAATCTCATTTTATACTACCTTCACGTAACCAGTAATCCCAGCTTGATCATATTTCTGTGATTCGCGTTGCAATATCTCTCCTTTCATTGATTGTG